TATATATATGGAGACTTCGTCGAGAAACGGAAAAAGAAAAACAACGTGACTAAAATTAGATTTACTTATTTTACAAAAGAGGAAAAATATATTTAACCGTAATAATTAAAAGGGTTGGTAATTTGTTTTCTAAATCGTGATTACCAGGAAAACTGCTAACAGATCTTGCATTCAACGTGACTACTTGAGTTAAAGGTCCATGAGTTGTGTTTTTTTTTTATGTCAAAGACACTTAATTATTCAAACAAGGCCCAAAGTAGATTCGGATTATTTGGGTGGTTTTAGCTTAATTAGGGGGCAGTTGAGCCCGTGAAGAACGTAAATGGGGGCAGAGAATGGGCAAAAGGAAAAGATGAAAATTGAAAACTTTGTTCACCTCATTTGCTTGTTCCTAGGTTCCTTAATAATAATAAATAAACATTTATCCTTTTGTTATTTTTTTTAGAGGTGTTTTTATCAGATTGTTCGATCAATTGAACGAATCTGATCAAATTGAACCAATTAAATTTATTTAAATTATTTTTTTTAGTCCAACCTAAATCAAACTAATTAAATTTGATGTTGATTGATTCAGATGTTGAATTTACATATTTAAAATCTAAAACAATCCAAACCAAATTAAATAATTTTTATTTTTATATTTTTTTGGTTAATAATTCATATATATGTATCATTTTGATTATTTTGAAGATGTTTTCACTCCAAGAAAACGGTGAATAAGCGGCAAAAAATAAACGTCGGTTAATAACTGACGCAACTAGTCGGAAAAGCCGACGCTATTTTAAGATGTAGCGTTGACTTTTTCGACACTAAACTTAATTTAAATTTAAATTAAATTAGTGTCGAAAAAGCCGACGCTATATTTAAAGAATAGCGTCAGCTTTTTCGATACTAAACTTAATCTAAGTTTAGTGTCCAAAAAGCTGACGCTACATCTTAAAATAGCGTCGGCTTTTCCGACAATATACGTGCTTTAAGAGAGATAAAGATAATTTTTTCAATGTTATAGCATAATGTGTTCTAGTACACTTGATTATCAAGTTCACTTAAGACCTCAAGGTTCACGGATCGAGTCCCAGAATTGTTAACCGACACAAAAAAATTTGTATCAACTTATTTAGCATCAACCAAAAACTGACGAATAATCAACAATATTACGTCGATTTTTATGATTTAGTGGTGACAAAAAGCCGACTCTAAATCAGAACATTCTTGTAGTGTTTTGTGGTATAATATGTAAATTTTTCATTTATTTTTTAAATACTTAAATAAATAAATAAATAACTATATTGCAATATACTGAATGTCATTTTTATATACTATAATGCATTTAAAATTCTTAAGTAGATTAAGAAAAAATAAGAAGAACTATACTACAAAGTTATCAATTTAATTGATTTTTGACAATATTAGTTGGTGTTAAAAAAATTATTTACTTTAAAAAAAAATTTAAATTTTTTTTTATTAAATATCTAATTAATTGATTTGAACTGAACTAACTCAATTACCATCAAATTGATTTAGTTCAACATAAACATAAACATTTATGAAATATGAATCAATTCAAACAAATTAAATTTAATTAATTTAGATTGAAATTTTATCCAAACCTAAATCAATCCTACCGGTGAATATCCTTAATTTTTTCACCCTTGTTTAATTTTTATTGTTTCCTCCGTCAAGTTTAGCCTTGAATTCATCAACTTTACTATTCATTATGCACTGTTTTGGATAAAGATGGGTGAAAAAGCTTAACACAAAATATAGCAACTAGTCAACGCATTTTCCTTCCACCCCACAACCATAGATATTCCTCACTTGTCACTATCATAAATCACCAAGAACCTTTTTTTTTTTGCAAATGTAAAGCATAA